TCTTAAAAGAGAGAAAACAGGTTATAAACTGTTATATACTTGATTTTTGTAATGTTTTAAACTTAAAGAGTTGAAATATAGAAGTGCATGTTCTCTCATTATATACAATGTTGATGAGAACTAGAACCATTTATATAACTTAGGTAAATTGAAATGCTAGGATGGGGAAAATGTTCGTAAAAACTGTAAGCCTGTAAGCGGCGAAAATGGTCAGCTTTTGCAGAAGCACTTGTTTTGACACGAACCAGAAAATGTGGGATTCATTTTGGGACTTGTTTCTCAGGCAGTTTTAAATGCTCTGAATATGGAATATTGATGCAAATTTGCTAATGTGGGACAGTATGTGTCAATATCATACAGATTGCAGTATTAAGAATATTTCCAGTTTTGCTATCCTGAAATTGCATTGGATACATTTAAGTATAACCTTAACATAAACATTATGATTATCGAGTGAATTCTTAAAAATGGAACTATGCATATTTTTCTACCCACCTAGCATCATGGTTTATCCTGGTTAGGCCACAGCAAGTAATTTTTATGGATGACATCAGCGCGCGAATATATTTTTGCCTGATTTTGGAAAAAAAAAACCAAGAAATTTTGTTGCCTTCTGACAGTGGTCAACATGCCAAAAATGGGCAAAGATGTCTGTTGACATGTCAGAAGGTGGATGGCACATAACTATGAAGAGAGGAGACAAGAAAAGGCTCTGATTTAATGTTTTGTTTCTTACTTTGATGCAGTGATATGTGATGCTGGCTGTGTATATGTGATGTTCCCACTGAATCAAAACCATTTTACAATGATGGAGTCAAAAATTTTTAAATGTAGGGACCCTGCCTTGTTTTTTCTTGCCCGCTCGCATTAGATTTGGAGTCTACGGAGGATGTCATCCATAAAATTTACTTGCTGTGGCCTTAATAGGTACAACAAAACACTACCTATGTTATAATGTCTCTATACTTATTGTACGCAAGGCTGCCGCCCACCCTTTTGTGACAAGTACCTAATTCACATTGTTGCCAAGCAATATGTATAAATAACAACACTTACTAATGGCTGTGCGGCTGGAACCGGATAAGTTATGCCCTGACTGAGCCATTTAAAGTGTCACTATGTAACAAAAATATGTGATTAAAATATTTTGTTTAAAAAGTATTCATGTCAATGTAATATACTTCCTGTTTTCAACATCTTTGTGCAATTATTCTTTATGATTGGCACTAAAACAACCCACACGAGGAGCACGCAGTTTGTGGTGCCACCAGAAACTACCAAAATGTAAACAAACATGGCTGATAGTTGTATTTCTAGTTTTTAAACATACTCATAAAGCATCATGTTTTGGCACCTACTCCTGAATGGCACTTACTGTATTGGCAATGGAGACTGTACTCAACTTACTTTGTAAAGAAATGACCAGAAAATTTCCTTTTTTATATCGTCCTGAATTAAATGTTACATAATGCAGCTTTTAACCAGGGCACCGTTGGTTAGTCCGTCTTTAAAAGCAGGTCTTGCCATTTCCAAGATGCACAAACTGAACCCCTGGGTTCCTTTTGCATCACATATGTGTGTGCAATAAAGATCTGCACATATCAACTGAGAACTTTGGCAAATTGAGCCATGATGTGTTATGTAGGTAAAAATTAAATTTGAAAGAATCCATGTTCAAGTCAAATTATGGAATGGGAACCAATGTGGATGATCCTGTATGTTTTTTTGATATGCCCAAGGTCTTGGCCGCTTCATAGAATATTTATAAATTTCTTGGTAACATGGAACATCACGGTCAGGCTACCAAATGCCGTGGGAAAGGAAGGGGACTGCATTATGTGCATATCTAACCAAATTTTCAGGGAAACACCTGCAGTCTTCGTGGAACCAGGCTCTGAACTTGTACTTTTGTGTGTAGCTTGAGGAAAATAAGGCAGATGCTCTATATCTCTGGCACTACTTTGGACTTCATGTGAACTTGAAATTCATTGAGCCATTGAAAATTGTGATACTGTAAGTCTCTTTAGATTCGCGGGGCCTAAAGTTCGCGGTTTCGGGAAAATGGACAATCCGCGGTATTTTTAGATTCGCGATTTCTCCTTGGCTATTTTTCAAAGAAGAATTTGTAAAGTGTGTATTTAGAATAATAAAAGTTCGTGTTCCGGCATTTATATCCTAAAATGCGGCGCAAAAATTTGTTTCGTGCACCGCGCGAGACTGCCGGCGGTAAAGCTGACGATCGATCTGACGCACGTGTAAACAATTTTCTTTGTTCGGAAATAAGCGCTAAAACGCTATTTTCCACGACTACACATCGATACTCTAGTGAAGAAATGCATAATCGAAAGAATCTTTAGGGAAAATATATATTACTAAGAATATTTATGCCGTCTTCGGCGAGATTTTGAACCCGGAAGTATGCAAAGATCGCTTTCGGTTTTGTAGCGCCCCACGGTAGCGTTTCTATCCAGCAAAACAAGAAGAAGAAAAAACGCCCGGAAAGCAGGGCACAAAAGAGAATCAACTAACATTTCCCAGGTACCAGCAGTTATATTTTTCATCAAAATATTTGTAGATATGCCCGATGTGCCCGCAATTTTCAAGCGTCCGGGCGCGCATGGCCGGCGCTCAGCACACACAGATTTTTGTCCGGCGGTGCACGTTTGACACGGCCAGTGCCGCAGTATCGCGATTCGGTGTCTCATAATATTATAATTTTTTGACATCAGTATAACTTTTAAAAAAATTGGTACTCAACATACGTACATTTGCTAAGAACAGAGTTGATTTGCAGTGATTTGTGTTTGTTGCGTGTGTTTGTGTTTCGCTTACCGTCGTGAATGCATGTGGGGAGGGGGGCGCACTTACGCAAAACATATTCGCGGGGAAATAGATTCGCGGTACAGAGGTCCCCGCGAATTCCGCGAATCTAAATATACAGCGGAAATTTGTAGACTTACAGTATCTGATAGAGAAAATAGTGGCCGCTTCAACTTGACACGTAATATTTTACCATAATGTATATGCCGGTGTTTGAACACAATGGCTTCGACTATTAAAGACTATTAAGGAGAAATGTGAAGTAATTATGAGCTGAGATCAGCTAGCATATAAACTGTCATAAAATGAAGGCAATGGAAAGTAGACGCAGCATTCGCAACAATTTATTGGTACGACAAGAGAACATCTTCATGCATTCGCCCCTCAAAATGATATTTTGTACACCTCGAGTTTGACAGCCTCTCGTAAAGAAGGTAGCGGGAGTGTTTGTGTATGTGTGGCGCACACCTTTCCCGGTTATTCACCCCAATATAACACACATGAGCTACCAACACAAGTCAAGGCCAACTGACGTGTGCCGCTGGATGAAAGAAAATTCCATTAGGTTCCCTCCTCTGCCGCTGAAATGAGACCAGACAAATCCTTTTCTTGCAAGAATTTTCATCGTGAATTTTCGAGTTATTATTTAACCTTGGTTACCTGGATTACTGTAATACATGTACTAATACTTTAGATGTCAATATCAGGACTGGTAGAGAATTATATCACTGAGTAAATGCATTAATTGATTTGATAATCAATGTGATGAAGGCATGTGCATTGTGCATGTAGTCCCCAATGTGTTTGTCATGTTTTTTGTAAAGGTGACATCTGTAAAATGTACTTTGATATTACTTGAGAATGTATAGAATTAAAATGCATTTGTGTAAAATGCCCTTTTGAAGTAATTGTATGGTATTTGATAATTTAGAATCAAAGAGCAGTATTTTGGATTGCTCAATAACAATGACAATTGAGTTAACAATTCCTTAAAAGTCAGCCATGTTTCAGTTCTGCCTAATATTACAGAATGTCACCTTTAATTTTTTTATTTGCATGTTGCAAGTGATCATATGTTTTTAATTTTTTCATACCAACGCATGAGCCAAATGTTAGATTCCTGAAGCATTAGGAAGCTTTGAATTCCCTGTCATCTCTTTATTTGTCCCTGCTTTATCCAGCCATTTGCATCCTGTGTTGCCAGGGTCAGCTATGTTAAGGTTGGTTTGCTACAGTACATGATGTATACAAGGCAGGCTATGGTTCTTACCCATGCTGCTTTGCTGCTCCAAGCTGTATGCCACACTCGTTTCATGACTTGGTTCCTGGATTTTGTAGTTAGTAGAATTAACAGTCATTAAAACCGCTGTCCAAAATTTTCACATTCGATTACCATCAGTTAGAATATATCAAGTATATCATTATAATCTCTGAATGGAGAAAAACTCCAGTGATCTATGAACAAAGTGATAAATGAGCTTTGTGGCTTATAACTACATGTATACACAGATAATCATATACATAGATGAGGATATAATGTATACCTGTCAACTAACAACACTGTTCACATGGGCAGGCTGTCATGTGTTCATGTGAAGATATTGACAGTTCATGCTGATATTAACGTTAACAGTGATTGGCAGAAAATCATTCTTTGTCTGTCTTGTTGCTTGGGCCATGTGACGGTGGTAATGCAGGATAGGTCAGTGACAAGAGGTTGTCAGATGAAAGGTTTTCGGTGTCCTGTTGTACTGTCTTGTTGAAACAGCAGTTTGGAGTGTTGCAGTAAGGTGACAGGATGCTTCTGAATATTATGGTCTGAAGTTGTTTGCATAGCTACTCAGTATTTTTTAAAACTCAGGCCACACCAATTTTAATTAGTTGTTTCTTGGATTTCTATAGACAAAATATGAAGCAACAGGGCAAAAAAAATATATGTAGCCCCAAAGGCTATAACAGGAGCCACACAAAGTCAACTCACCAGGCTGGTTTGTGGTTCAAACAATGTATTTTGAATCAAATAACTGCATTATTTGATAGATACTAGAAAACTGTAACAAATAGGAAGACAACAACTTTCTTCAACCATTGGGCCAAAATATGAGCATTTTGTAGTTGAATCAGAACCTGAATATTTTTTTTTGCAAATCTAAGAAAATGAAATGGGCAAATTCAAGAACCAACTAATCAAATTGGTTAGATATGGCCCTAGATGCAGTTACATAATGCATGCAAGCTAACTTCATTAAGGTAATGGAGCCTTTTCAGGACATGTGATACTCCAGACTGCTGTATCTACCTTAACCCACAGGCCTTAACCATTTTATTCATTTAGTTGTCACATGTTGAAATTAATGTGAAGAAAGAAAACAAGTGTGCATGCTGTTACTGATTATAGCTGAGGTAATCAAGATACGTTTGTTTTTATTATAATTTTCTATCCTCAGATGAAGAATTAAAGATATAAATTAACTGCTTTGGCCGAGCTAGTAACTTAGTACTAACACCTGGAGCTTGATCTTTCATTTGACAACCAGAATCACTGACTCAAAAGTCTATGGCTTCAAAAGGTATCGCCAACATGAATATTAACAAGTTCAGTGCATGGACAGTTCTTAAATGAATTGGGATGTGCTTGAAGCTTATGAACATGGAACCTGTGTGGTATAACTTTTGGTTTTGATTGAATGTATTTCCTGGTAAAAGAATATACTAAACATAATTATGCATGGTGACAAACAGTTGCCTTTTGGATTATCATATAGATAGTAATCAGGTTCAAAAGTCTTTCCATGTATATTTTAAATCAGTGATAGACCTTGCACACCTGAATTGATTTTATCCACAACTAATTGAAAGGAACTGTTTTTTTTTCTGAGGGTGCTGCTAGTAAATCTTAAACCAAAGTTGTAGAAATTAGTACATATACATTCAGACACAAGTCACACGGCCGAAGCAAGCAAAGCAAATGGACTCTTATAATCGCTATCCCCTTCTAACCCCCAGCCAGAGATAGAACGTCCAACTGAACGACACCAGTAGTTACCTAACACGTAGCCTCCACAACTTACACGTTCCAAACTGGGACAGTTGTGTGGCTGTTCTACATGGCGCTGTTTGTCGTTTTTCTGTAGAACCAACTCGGATTCGGCTCTACACACGAGCGCGATGAACCCTGCACCACAGGACCCCTTCCATCCACCCAACCAAGGCAGCCCACAGCAAGTACGCAGATGTAAGTACACGTACGCCTCGGCTCGGCCTGTTTTTAGAATGCTGTGTGCATTACAGAAAAAAGATCAGTACACGTGACATTAGTATCCTAGATACCGCTACATAAACAGTATTGAACTGGCTCAGTCAGGAGATTTCAGGTCTTACAGATAGAGGGTGGATGTCGTAACATGTTGACAATCAGTGAGAGGCTTTGATGTGAAAGCGTTTCAAACATGAAATTACAGGGTGTCAAATACCACCTGCATATGCAGTCAGTGCAGGTAAGGCCACACCAATTTCATTTGTTGGATTTTTTCAGAAAAAATATGAAGCGACAGGATGAAAAAAAAAACAGACCAAGGCACCTCATGAAGGCTGGAAATGTTGAGATATGACTATGAGCCATGAAATCAACATACCAGACTGGTTTATGATTAAAACTTACAATAGATTTTGAACTTTAAATGACACAAAGTTGCATTGTTACATCGGAATACTATAACAACTAGGAAGAAAGGGACTTTCTTCAACCGTAGGGGCAAAAATATGTCTTTCATTGAGCATCTAGCAGTTGATTCAGATTTCAGAACCTAAAATCTTTTTTTTTTTTTTGCAAATCAGAAAAAAAATGGACAGGGCGAATTTGAGAAGCAACAAATTAAATTGGTGTGGCCTAAAATTGGAGTTGGGCAGGTATTTCTGATGTCTACCTGCACCTAACCTGCACTGGTCCATGTACTGGGTCTGTATAGCAGCGGTTTCAACCGGTTTTTAAAAGTCTGGTATGAACGGGATCTAAGGCGCATACATGTATTCACCTGACTGTGATAAGCTTTCATTGTTTGATCTCAGTTAATGTTGTGTTTCTTTCTATTTCAGTTGGCAATGTGCTAGATCCACAGTTAGGTCAGAAGCCCTGGGACCCCAAAAAGGTTTGTCAGACTTTAACAATTTGTGCTTGCCTTGTACATTGGGATATGCATTTAATTGAATGTACAGTATCTAAACATTACAGTTGTTTAGTGATGACATTCACTGCTCTGCTGAAACCTTGGCTGTTCTATGTGCATCAATGATGTCAAGTTATTATCAAATTACAGTCAAACTTATCTAAGAAGACCACGCACGGGGGGTAGTAGGAAAAGTGGTCTTCTTAGACAAGTGGTCCTCTTATACAAAAAGCATGGCAACAAGATAAGGTAGATAAGAAAACTGCAGCCAAATTCCCACCTATTTTACGTTAGAGTTAGACTGCCCAATTGACCCAAAGTGACCCAGTTGGCACCATTTTTCATTGTGCAAAGACTGTCAAAGACTGTCATTTTACATTGTGCAAACACAGATTCCATCAAGATTTCTCGCTAGTTTGTTACAGTTCAAAAGAACATTTTCTGCCACACTCTTGAAAATGATGCTGTCATCATAAGGCCATGTGTGACCCCAAATAGTGGCGGTCACGTTGGACAGGTGGTCGGCTTAGACATGCTTACAGATACAATGTACATCTGCAAGGAAAAAGAAATCAGGACCAAGAAAAAAACGTTGTTATGGCCAGATGGCCGGCTTATGGAGGGGGTGGCTTGGGCAAGCTTGACTGTACAGTCAAACCTGTCCAAGCCGGCCACCCAGGGGACCAAAGAAAAGTGGCCACCTTGGACAGGTGGTCTTCTTGAAGAGGGTCACCTCACAACATGGCTGAGGCTGAGAAGTTGAGATATTCTAATGTCAAATGCTGTAAATGCATGTGGGGAGGGTGGCACATGGAACAATTTTCCTCGAACAAAAACATCATCCAGCAGTCAAGGAAAACTGGCTGGTTTCTTCATGTCTCATTAGTTATCATCAATAATCAACATGATTGAAAATGGTGTGGTCATCATGGGCAGGTATCGGGCCTTCAGCGGACCCATCTCAGGGTGGTCACGGTCACGTTGGCCAGGTGGTCACCTTGGACAGGTTGCTTGATGCTTGCATCAATGGGGAAAATTTTTGAGACAGAAAAAGTGGTCACCATGGCCAGGTGGCCTTCTTGAAGAGGTGGTCTACTTGGCAGGTTTGACTGTATTCTCATTAATCTGCTATCACAAACATTTCTGTTCCAGCACCAGCAGGTGGGGACTGGGCGACCAAAGTCTTGTGAAGTTCCAGGGATAAGGTAAGTTGGCAGATTGAAAGGTAAAACAGTCTGGATCAGTGTTGTAGCCAGCGTCTATCTTTCTGACCATTGATTAAATTTTACTGCCCATGGCAGACAAAATGTTTGCCAAATCTGTTGCCTTTGACGGACAAAAATCGGCTTATAAAGATATGGAAAGAGATGTTGTTAAAGTAAGCTTAGTCTACCAGCAACATTTGCCCCTCAAACTGCAGGAAATAGAATTTCAGAGGGTCTTCAAAATTTTCCTGGGATTTTCCTAGGATTGTCATGTTCAGCACTCAACAGGATATTGCATCAAACAGAATTGAGAGAAAAGAAATTTTAGTCTGGCTAGAACATTGGTCTGGATTGTTATGTGATAAGGCTGTAGAGCTCTTAGACATGGTTTTCACATTGAGCTTAATGTTGACCTTTATTCACAGTTGAAAATGTAAACTAGTAGACGTCTGCATGAAATGCAGAAATGCTGATTTTATGATGACAAATGGATTTTTGTAGGTACATGTATGTACAAGCAATGAGAACATGTACCTGCATCAACATTGTGATGTTTATAAATCCATAATTGATGAAAATATACTGTGGAGCAGGTAATACCAGTACTGAAACATATATTAGGTTAATTTGTTTAATGTATGTGTGTGGTTTACCACCATAATTCAAGAAGTTTTGGATGGATTGTCATTAAACACATGATGGTAGGTGGGTAGGTCTTGTTGAGACCCTGAAATGATTAGATTTTCGGCCCCTTAGCAACTTGTGATGGTACTGCAGCGGATTTTAGATGGTAGATCACTCTTGTGTTCAGGGAAGAAATGTTATTAGTTTGGGCTCCCTAGCAGCTTGTTGTTTATTATTCACAACCAGTGATGAGAGTCTGCAAATACTCTCCAGGAATAACTAACAGCTGTGTTCTCTGTTGTCCAGTATCTACCCGTCAGCGGAACAAGAGACGAATCACCCACACATCCCGATCTCCAACAACACGGGCTCGCTTCCCGACCTCACCAACCTCCAGTTCCCGTCACCCCTGGCAACCCCGCTGGACGTGGAAGATCAGGTGAACTTGGCACTCGGCCACTACCGCATGTTTCCTGGAACACTTGTAGTTACTTAACACTTGTAGGTCTTAAGCTGTAAATGGGCTTTTCCGAGAATGCAGCGAGTGTCGGATGAATGTAGAGGTGTTGGATAACAATCTGTTATTGGGTGTTCCAGACACAGACGTAGACGGCAACACGGGGCAGTGAACTGTACCACTTGTGTGGCACACAGTCGAGTGCCCAAGGAGCATTTCAGCTGCCAGGAAAAGTCCTTGTTTTATCCTGTCATTTTTCTGACTGCTGGAATGTTCCTTTGGGTTATGTTAGTGCTGTATTTTGTATGCCTGTAGTGCAGTGTTCTGTAATTTCTTCCCATGACAAATCTGTTATTTCTTCTGTCGTTCAGCATGTCTTGTCTTAGCGCCTTTTGTCTACTGCTTCGTTCCTCACAACTGTGGCGTCAGTCAAACCATGAGATCTAACCGACTGTTACATCTCCTCCAACCTTTCCAGACTTCCTTCAACCATAGTAGCGGCAACACCCTGTCCACAAATACCATGCAACATTTAGGCATTAGTGCTGCGCAGCAAACACAGACCAGTCCTCAGGCCCAGAGAAGACGTCACACCCACCACTCTGCACCGAGTCCCCTCACTCTCAGTCCCCACCAGCAAAGACGAGCACAGTCACAAGTTATACCTCCTGTAAGTCATTCCCACCATCCATGGGGAGCTCTTCTTAATCTTTTGCTACGTCTCGCAAGCAATCAATTTTTGTTGGTCAGAAAAAGTCGTAGCATGCCTTGTAACAAGATGAATGTGAAGACTATCGACCAGGATTGAGTTTGTGTAAGGTGGGAAAAGAGTTTGATTTTAAAGGGTTGCATTAGTGAAGAATCTGAGGTACAAACTAACAAGTAGTGACTGTTATGCAGATTGATGAATGGAAATCTAAGTTGAGTTGTGAAAAGGGAGACGTTGAAACTGTTCTGAATTACAATGTAGCACGTGCTCAATCAGAACAGCGTACTGTCTGTAACAGAAAAAATGTCAATCATTCTGTGGCTGTTGTAAGTCTTAAGCTAAAACTGGAAGCATGCAGATATTCATTTGCACATGCTTGTGTCATACATGTAGTATACGCCAGTGTGCTTTCCTCATCTCACACATGTAGTTCAGAGTTCTCTCGTGGACTTGTCACCAAAGTTAGTTCATATTCATGCCATGGTTTCCTTGTGACAGAACCTACATCATGCCTTTTCTTGACTTGATATTTTCATATCAATGACTTTCCTGTCTAGACTATAGCAGAAAAATCAATAATGGTACCACTTTCACAGCTGAGCTTCTGTGTCAATGACTTCAGGCACTTACAGGATTGTCTCTAGCCTGGGTCATCCAAGTTTACTGGCCTGAAATAGCAGGATAATGGATCAGTCATGCAAAATCTTTTCAAGATTAGGCCACACCAATTTAATTTCTTGGTTAACGGATTCGCCAGCTTCATATTTCTCTGATTTAAAAAAAAAATTCAGAATCAACAGTTACTGCAAAATGCTCATATTTTGCCCCGAACAGTTAAAAACAGTCCTTTTCTTCCTAGTTGTTACAGTTATTCCATCTTTCAATGCAATGGTATCATTAAAAGTTCAAAATTCTTTGTTTAAATTTTGAACCAGCCTAGTGTGTTGACTTCAAGGCTCCTATCATACCATTTTGGGCCATAATAGGATGCCTAGGCCTGTTTTTATTTAAATATTTTTTTCGCCTGCCCGCTCCATTATTTTTGTAGAACAATCCGTTAACCAAGAAATTAAATTGGTGTGGCCTTATGTTGCAAAAATTTCTGGGATAATTAATGGCTGGCATAATTCAACATGAGCCTATCACAAGTAAAATCATCTTAAAAAAGCAGGGGACAACCTTATCAATTTGAAAATAATACTTCTGTAACAATGCTGCTTTAGACAAGCCTTTTAACAAGAAGGGGATCAAGTCATAATAGAACTTCTTGAACTTTTTAACTAGATAAGAGCCTGAAATATACAATGCCTTTAAATGTCTTGAACTTCAAGGATATTGTGTGCTATAATTATTACTTAAGCTACCTGAAAATAAATTGGAAGAAAGTTTCCCTGACTAAGGCACTGTAAACATGTGTCCATCCAGCTTAGAAAGTATTTTTCATCACTTCAAAGGATGGTACACTGTATTGCCATTTATCACAATGAGATTGCAACTCTTCATAAATCGTTGTTCAAAAGTACATTGTACATGTCTGGGCTCGAAATACCTTTTTTCAGGAATGTGCAAAATTGCACATTGGCAAGTATTTTACATGCAATTTGAAAATGTATGTACAAAATTATATTTAGTTGGTCTGCAACTGTTTTAGCTTTCCAGGGCTAGTAACTCCCCTGCTCCTACCTCTCTCCACATGTCACAAATGCTAGAGTAACTGTTGGAACTTCCCAAAATTAAAAACATTTTATACGGCACATAGATAAAATCTAACAACAGTCTGAGAGCAATAAATTATTTTTATTTTGCATGTTTGTTTCCTTTCATATCCTGCATGATATGTAAAGTAAAATATACTGTTTATGATATGAAAATAATGTATTGTTAATTTTTACTTCTTTGCCTGCAACGTATCCCTCCCCCCTGCTTTAGGTTCAGAATTGCATGTCAAAATATTTTAAGCGCAAATCTTGAAAATCATGTGCATTTTGCACATTGCACATGGGTATTATGAGCCCTGCATGTATACATTGCCAGAAAGGTAACAACGTAAAAGATGAGTTTTTACAGCTCTTGCTGTTCTGGTTGTAGGTACAGTGAAATCTCTCTCCCATCTCTACCATCAAGTCTCTGCTCCATGGTTCTTGACCACCTCCTCTGAGTACCACTGAGCCCAGGCCTCCTCTGACCTCCTGTGGCAGTCTGACTTGTGACCTGAACGTTTTTGTCCTTTGCAGCACAACGAATACGACAGACCCGATGTTGCACATCAAGGTTTCCTAGACACGCAGGTTGACGGGTCCATACTAAACTACCCCCTTGATTTTGAGGTAAAAGAAGGCCTTTAACGCAAACTAACCCATCTTAAAACTTGGAGGGCAGTGGTGAATTGGTTAGGGAATTAAACAAGTGATGATGACCCAACTATTTCAAGCTAGCTGCTGATAGACAGTTGTAACAATGCCTTTGCTTCTGTATCATAAGGGAAAGATTGAGGTTAACTTATAAGCAATGATATAAGTATTGTCAAACTGTTAACAATCATTGTCAAAGAGTGGACATCTTCATGTGCATTAATTGCTCTGAAACCTGCTGTATGTGTGCAACAGTGCAGTGCACATGTGAGCCAGTAGGGGGCGATACTAACAGCATGCCAGACCAGTTGCTGCCATATGTTGTAGCATTTACAATCTAGCCCCTATCCTCACTAACAAACATTTTAAGCAGTGTCCTCACAGATGGTAAGTGCTAAATACTTGATGTTGGCTAAAATGACGGATGAAAATTCCAAAGACATATTTAATGCTATAAAGACATACGCGCGGTAGATATTTGAAATTGAAGGTGTTCATCCAAAAAAAGTTATTTACTAAAATCTAAAAAACACAGATGTTAGGTGTTCTTTTTGTAAGAAACAAGTTGTACTTTTACAATAAGGTAAAATACAGTTAATTTGATAAGGTTGGAAACTAAAGCGTAACACAAAACAACATTTTGAGAAGCTGATGTTATAATCAGCTAAGTACTTATTCAAACTCTATATACTACATGTACTAGTGATTCAGAAATGTCTTTTCATTCCTGGATCAAATTATATCAATTGTATCAGATTTCTTTTTTGAAATGTCATAAGCCTTGACTGACTATTAGGTTGCATATTCTTCCAAACCAGCTTTGCAACAGCTGTAACTTTTGGCTGGGCATTTTTTAATAAGATTGAAACAGTGGTTCTGCTCTCAACAAGTGCATATTATCAGTCGCTGATAGCACTACTGACTGCCGTGCCTGTTCTCTCCCCCCCCCCCCAANCG